ACACACACACACACACACACACACACACACACACACACACACACACAATGACCCCTGAATTCACACAACTACATGTCAAGCACAGAACCCTGTTATAAAGTGATTTTATTAAATTGATTTGGACATACTGTAGGTCAAATAATATTTTCCGAAGATAACAATTATGGACTTTAAAGCTCGACATAAAATTAGTAGCTTCAAAAGTGTTAGTCATATTCCCCAGCAACAGCATGATAAAATAATTCAACTATGTAGAAATATAGAACTCTAGGACTAGCTGGAAACTCGGAAATCATTTAGCCTAATGTCCTCGTTTTGTGAGAAAACTAGACTCAACGATTAGGCGATCTGCCCAAGCTCACACACCTAATAGTAATAAAGCTAGAAATCAAACCGATTTTTCCTAAAACTAAAATCCTACTGATGATAGTTCCGCTGTCTCTCTACCAACTAAAAGTCTAGGCGGCTCTCTAACGCCGCAGGCTACCATGACATGGACGAGGGTAAGACACTACAGTAAATCGTAGTCGAGGGCATCAGGCCTGGAAGGGGTTCCACCCAGGAACCAGGCTGGCCCTCTCCTGGGCAAGGAGGACACACAGGAGAAGGGACTTCCCAAAGGCTGTGAACAGAGCTGTCTGGATGAAAATCCAGAGAGGGACACAATTATCCCCAAACCCCATCTCTAGTTTCATGGCCCACCCACTAAATAATGTGCTCCTTTTAAATCTCGTTTATGCCTTTGAGGTTTTAGTTACACAAAAACCCTTTCCAGTCAAACAGAAGAAATTAATTCAAATATGAAGAGAAAATCAAGCTTTGTTTCAGTATTTCGATGACTATTTCGGGAATTCATTTCCCAACCTCTTAAGACAGTTGACAGACACCACGAACCTGTTCACCCATTTCAGAGCTTCAAAGATCCTTAACTTCCCCCAAGACTTCCTGAGCATAAGGACTACATGTGGGAATCAATGGAAACAGGAATGAGAAGAGAAACAAAGTTAAAAATTAGTTGCTTTTTGTTCTCGTCATTGGGGACTTTTGGTCTTCTAAACATTCCTTGAGTTCTTCCACATGAGTTTTTAATATCAATCTAGCCACAAAAAAAAAAAAAAAGAAAAAAAGGAAGAAGAAAAGAAAAAGGGGCCTATAAATGTTGGGATACTGAACAACTCAGTATCTCTCCCCTCCCCGTGGCTCGCTCTGCCCCAGCACCTGGCCACCTTCTGCTCCGCAAACATGGCAGCGGGGGCCAGCCAGCTGGTGCTGCCAGCCTTGCGCGCTCCACTCCAGCGCCCCCCTCAGAAAGGCCTTCCCTGACTGTCTAATGATGCCCCACCCCCACCCCACCCCCACTCTAAATCATCACCCTAGTTTATTTTCTTCATAGCACTTAATCACTATCTCAAACTACATTATGTATTTGCTTACTTGCGTATCATCTGTCTCCTCCACCAGAAGTAAACTCCATGAGAGCAGGGCCCTTGTCTGTCTTACTCAGTGGTATTCCCAGCACCTAGCACAATGCCTGGCACAGAGGAGGTGTTCAATAAATACTTGCTGAATGAATGAAGAAAGGAAAGGAGAGAGTGACATAGATATTCATGCCTAAAAACGAAGGAATACCTGATCCTCAATGAAGGTATTGAGGACTCCTACACATTATTGCCCAAAATTACAGAAACAGAGACTAAATATTATTAGTGACTCCTCCCACCATCCACTTCTCCTATGGTCTCCCCTAGCTAGTAAGGAGCTCCACGTGCTACAAAAGGAGCCCAAGAGGGCAATTCTGGATGGAGAAAAGTTCCAACTTTGCTTGCTTACTTCTTCCTCCCTATTTACATTCAGTTATTTCCAAAAAATTCAAGTTAAAAATATGTGATGTAGCCACTAGAAAATTAAGTCTAACATAGAGACACAGTGATTAGCAGAATCCACAACATGTTTTAAAAAAAGTTCAAGGGCATGTACGTCTGCCAGTGATTTCTCTGATGGGCCAAGTGAATGGAAATTATGAGTCACCTAAAATCTAAAATGAAATTTAATGCCATCTAGGAAGGGGTGGATATTTACGGGTACTGTGAGGACATACAGGTAAAGCGGGCTCAGAAGTAATGGGATCTATGGAACGATATGTAGGGGCTGAACCAAGGGATAACCTCAGAAATACCAGGACACTGTCTTTGTGGGAGCTGTCCATTTTCAAATGCATTAACCAGTATGTCTGAATCGAGAGAAGGAAGGGCATGAGCTCCTGAAGGGGGGGATGACTGGGGTAACTTTTAGGTAAAGCGTAGACAGAAGGTGACTCAGGAGGCTGGGCAATGATCATGGTTTCCTGTGTCGTATTTCCCATTACTGAGACATCAGGCCCAAATCCCAGGAAATGCACACCCATGACTGGGGCCTCACAGCCTGTCTTGAGCAGACACTCAGAGGGATTCCAGATTCAAAGCCAAGTTGTGGCACACACTTGACATGAATCTAAAAAAACCAACCTCACTATATGCCTCTTCAATAAGAATGTCCTGCTGGGGCTTGCTGTAAAAATTTCTTAGGTCAATGTAGGTATTTACAGGGTTTCCTTCCTAGTGGCACTTATGGGTTTTAAGATTTTTAACTCTTAGCAAAATGCTCTATATAACTGATATTTTGAGATGGTTTCTCTCCTTTGTATGCACTCTCTGGTGGATGCAGAGGCTGGTGCTCTGACTGAAGGCTTTCCCACACTCATCACATTTAAAAGGTTTCTCCCCAGTGTGCACTCTCTGGTGGATGCAGAGGCTTGAGCTCTGGCTGAAGGCCTTCCCACACCCACAACATCTATAGGGTTTCTCCCCAGTGTGTACTCTCTGATGGATGCAGAGGCTTGAGCTCTGGCTGAAGGCCTTCCCACACTCATAACATTTATAGGGTTTCTCTCCTGTGTGAACTCTCTGATGCATGCAGAGGCTAGAAGTGTGCCTGAAGGCCTTCCCACACTCTTCACATTTAAAGGGTTTCTCTCCGGTGTGGACTCTCTGATGCATGCAAAGGTTTGAACTATTACTAAAGCCCCTTCCACACTCACTACAGACATAGGGTTTCTCACCTGTATGAACTCTCATGTGAATTTGAAGATGTGAGCTCCAATTGAAGGCTTTGCCACACTCATAGCATTTATAGGGCTTCTCCACTGTGTGGATTTTCTTATGTCTGTTAAGTTTTGTTGTAGTACTAAAATCCTTACCACAATCATCACATTTATAGACCTTCTCTCCTGTGTGGTCTCTCCAATGAATATGAAGTTCTGATATATGAAAGAAACCCTTGTCACACTTGTCACATTTATGGGGTTTCTCAGCAGTGTGAATTTTCTGATGCATAAAAAGATCTGCTCTCTCAGAGAAAAATTCCCTACACATGGGGCACTTGTAGATCATTTTTCCTATTTGGTATCGTGATTTAGAGGAAAAAATTTCTGTACGACTACTATAGTTACACGATTGCTATTTCATAGAGTCTCTTATTTGGCCATTCTGGCAGTTTATCTCAGGCTTGCTCTATTAGGTAGGTCTAAGGTTGGCCTAAGCTTCTCCCTGCCTGTATTTCTGTGGAAGATTTCTTCCTGCATAGTGCTCCTCACTCAGTATTATTATTGATCATAAAGTGACATTTACTTCCACATGAATTCTGTAACTCATGAACACAGAACTTTCCTTTAGATCCTGAGTTGTCAACATTCCAAGGGGCTCCCAAGGTGCAAACCTCTGTGTTTGTAAGCCCCTGGAATCTTCCTCTTGTAGAACAATCTCGTACTTCCCACTTCTAGAAAAAGGACTGCACAGTGTCCCCTGTGGTGGAGGGTCTCGGTCCCCTGTAGCCTCCCCTTGAAGAGTCAGTAGGACATTCTGCCTCCTACACATCAGACAGGAGCCTTCCCAGGAAGCAAGCTCCTCGGGTTCCAGGTGTGTCAATCCTTCCTTCTGGGGATTCCCTACATGGGTCTCACTCCAGTCTCCTGTAACAGAAACATAAGTAAATATATTGAAAATGCCTCTTTCCCAAAAATTGCTATTGGTTCCATAATTAATTTCATATAAACGTGACAGCAGCAATACAGACCTTTTTTGATCTTGAGGAAGAAGCTCTCTTATCGTCCAGAGAGATGTATCTCTTGGATTTGCAGGTCTGAAGAAGAGAATTTGTAGATATCATGCTCCTGTTCATAGCCCAAGTATATAATCCACTTACAACCACTTACTGTAATTATCTAAACAACGTCAAGGGAATATTATTGAAAAAGAAAAGAAATCCTCAGAAGACCTGAATATGAGGAGCAGCTGTCCTGCATAAAGGAGCAAGAAGGAAAACTATCTCCGCTTTGAACTTCAGAAAGGACAGTGTTTGCTTTAGAACTAAAACATCCCATTTGAGTAGCCTTCCGATCTATAGAAAGACTAAATCTATGATATATTGGTATTGAATGTCATTCCCTTGCTCAATTGTCCTCAATGGTTTCCTGATATACTTAAAACAAAATCCAAACCCTTCAGTGAAAACCCAAGGCCCTGCATGACCTTGCCTCCACTCTCCCCCACACCTTGCTGTGCCTTCTCCTTCAGTCCTCAACACCACAAGCTACTGCCTGAAATGCTTGCTCCCCCACCTGGCACGTGGCTTGCTCTGTCAGCTGCCCCTCCCTCACTTGAGGAAGGTCCCTGACTGAGACTCTATTTCAATCTCTCGTTTGATTCCTTCAAAGCACACAGAACTTGTGATTATCTTATTGTTCCTTGGTTTTTGATACATCTCTTGTAGTAGGATATAAATGCCATGAGGAAGGAACTCTGTGTGTTGCTCACTGTTATGTTCCAGTGAAGGGGAGGTGTTCAATTAATATTTGTAGAATGCATCTATAGAATATTTTATGACAACCTCTCTCCTCCAACAGACATATCCCACTTCATTCTGGTATAGAGGCACATTTCCCAGTGCCTTATTACCAGTCTTTTGACAACCAACAGGGGACAAAATACACAACAAATAGAATGATCAGGAAATAAAATAAATCCCAAAATATTTATTTGAACTCTTGTGAGATTTAGGACTATGTTTTAGCAATCTTTTCATCGCTTGTATTTTATAATCAGTAACTGATACTTCAATTAATTAATTAAATGAAATCAACAGATCTTCTTCAAGTAACACTTTCAATAGTATGTTCCATACAAAGACAGGGTCATGGGCAAATGAGATTTCCTCAACATTAAAGTGGCAAAATAAATTGGACTCTTTTAAATGGAAGTGTTTGGATTATGAAATTGAACTAGATACTCAAATTTCAGCAAATATATAGTCAGTGGCTGGAAAAATATATGCATTTATCCTTTGTTCTATAACAACATTTCTAGAGATCCATCCCAAGATACAATGGCAAAAATAGGAAGTGACTGATGTCCTAGGTTATTCACTGAGGCAGTACCTGTCATGGCAAAACTGCAGACAACCAAAGGCCTATCTGCAGGGGACTGGTCCAATCAACTCTAGTACTTCCTCACAATAAAATGCTGCTTAGCTGCTCAAAAAAAAAGGAATGAGGAAGAACACTATGCATTGATATGGAGCAAACCCCTGTCATACTGTTTAGTAAACAAAGCAAGACACAGAACGGCATATATACTATGCTAACTTTTGTGCAAAGCAGGGATGTGAATGCGAATGTATGTATTTGTTCACATAACATGCACAAATTAATACAGAGGATAACACAAAAGCAATTATCTATGGGGGATGAAGGAGCAAAGATGAAGTAAAACTTTTCCAAATGTACCCTGTTTTGTAGTTTTGGCTTTGGAAATGTGTTTATATATATATATATATTCCAAAAATAAAATTAAATAAAAAAAAGGAAAATGATACCTAAAATTTTAAAACAAATGAAGAGAATGAACCTTAATTTTCAAGTTGGTAACATCCACAAAGGGCTTCAGAGTACCACATACTGAGTGTACATACTTAGCGGGACAGATTCTGTTGACAAAAAAGCTGCAAAGAGGGGTGCCTGGGTTGCTCAGTCAGTTAAGCATCTGCCTTTGGCTCAGGTCTTGATCTCAGGGTCCGGGGATTGAGCCCCACATCAGGCTCCCTGCTCAGCCGGGGAGTCTGCTTCTCCCTCTGCCGCTCCCCCTGCTTGTGCTCGTTCACTCTCTCAAATAAATAAATAAAATCTTTTTTTTAAAAGAGCTGCAAAGAAATCAAACTTCTTTCAATAGTTTGTTAGTTATAACAACACTGGTGTGTTTATAAAGATTAAGCAAACAAGTAATTTTGTTAATGTTAGGAACCAAGATTCAATGTAAGATAAACCAAATACAAACATAAAATCAAAGTTAAGGAAAAAACTAATCCAACATAAAATGTGACTTATCAGTTTGAATTCATGTCTTTTTTAGCTCTATCCACCAAAAAGACCTAGAAGCAATGACAACCAACAGCAAAACACCCTTCTCCACCAAAAGACACAGGGATCCTTGAAGGAGCAGCTGATTTCAAGGCCAGAGCAGCATTTTACAAAATTAGCCTGGGACATCTCGTTATTCCAGAAAGCAAGAGACCAAGAGAGTCATGCCAAAGGAACACCAATGTCAATTTATGAAGAGACTCCCATTGGCCAAGAATGGGACAACTGAGCATCAAAAGGAATAATGAACACAATCTACTGAAACAAATTAAATATACAAAACCTCAGATTTCACAATGATTTCAGGGGTGAGGAATGGGGGTAGAGGGGAGCAGAGAGAGAGATAGACAGACAGAGGCAGAGAGACAGAGATTCAAGGCACTGAATAAAACTAGAAGTAACTAGGCCACCAACTTTTTACCCTGAAAACTGGCAATTAAAAGGAAAGAACTGTGCCTCCATCCTATCTTTCCTCTATGAGCTTTTTTTTTTTTTTTAAGATTTATTTATTTTAGAGAGAGAACGTGGTGGGGAGGGGCAGAGGGAGAGACAGAATCTCAAGCAGACACCCTGTTGAGTGCAGAGCCCCACGCGGGGCTCAATCTCATGACCCTGAGATCACGATCTGATCTGAAATCAAGAGTCAGATGCTTAACTGACTGGGCCACCCAGATGCCCCTCTATGAACTATCTTTTGAGGTAATGCAACAACCCAGCTAGTAAATGTGTAACCCTAACGAAATACCTGACCATGACCAGGAATTTTACATTGCAAGGATCAGGCTGTTACCACCTAAACCCACTCACCAATCTTAGCATTACTCAAAAGAGGAGCAACCAGACCTGTGTGCCCCCCAATACGATGCGATAGGAAACACACAGCATCACTCTGAAATATTCTTGCCAAAAGATTGAACCAGGACCTAACCAAGACTCTAGACATCATTTTTATTTAAAGGAACAAGGAGGGATAGAAGAAATGCCAGGAAGCAAGTAGAAAAATACCAAAGTGTGAGCCAGTCCACAGGACAGCTGCCCATTGTTCCAACAAGTAAATGGCCTGGAAATGGGGAGTCGTGGTGGAGAGCGACTCTAGATTAAAGAGACTCAAGACCTAACAATCAAATGTAATGTGAGGACCTTCTTTGGAATCTGATTCCAATAAACCAACTGCTGAAAGGAGGCAAGTGAGGAAACATGATTAGAGATGGGGTTATCACGTTGTACAAGAAATGCGGCCAACTGTGTTAAGGTGTGCTAACACCATTGGAGTCATGTAAACAAATGTCAGTGTTCTCAGAGATGTATAGTGAAGTTTGCAGGAATCAAGTGACATGAGATGGGTCCAAGATGGTCTTCAAATGCTTCAGAAAAAAAAAACAAGACAGTAAAAAAGGACAGTAAAGCAAATGTGGCAAAAACATTGTCACTACTGAGGCCAGGTAATGGACACATAATGATGGATAAACGATAAATAAAATGTACCTCTGGGCGTATCTGAAGTTTTTTATGATAAAAAAATCGGATAAAGAAGATGTGGTCTTCTTTAAAGAAGGAAGGTCTACCCTTCCATAATATACAATGGAATATTACTCAGCCATCAGAAAGGATGAATACCCAACTTTTACATCAACATGGATGGGACTGGAGGAGATTATGCTAAATGAAATAAGTCAAGCAGAGAAAGTCAATTATCATATGGTTTCACTTATTTGTGGAACATAAGCAATAGCATGGAGGACATTAGGTGAAGGAAGGGGAAAATGAAGGGGGTGGAAATCAGAGGGGGAGACGAACCATGAGAGACTGTGGACTCTGAGAAACAAACAGGGTTCTAGAGGGGAGGGGGGTGGGGGGATGGGCTAGCCTGCTGATGGGTATTAAGGAGAGCACGTACTGCATGGAGCACTGGGTGTTATACGCAAACAATGAATTATGGAACGCTACACCAAAAACTAATGATGTAATGTATGGTGACTAACATAACAAAATAAAATTAAATTTTAAAAAAAATCCGTTAATGCTGGGAAGACATTCTTTTCCTGCTCCTCTTGCAACAACAAACTGATCCCAGAACCAGGTACACTGTACAGACATGAAACTAAACAAATATGATCTTCCAAATGGCTGACTTCTCCAAGCAACCCTGAGCATGTAAGAATGTGCACAGCATCGCAGATGTCCCTGGAGAGAGAGAAGTCCGTGGCTTCAGGGCAGGGACAAGAGGAGGACAAAGGCGCAGTGCCACACTACAGCCTCCCTCCCTCACCAGCCACCCCAGACACTGTGTGGCTCTCCTCACTCGGAAATGAAGCAGTGAGGGTCAGGGCACCCATCCAGACTGGCGCCTCAGAAGAGACTGACTCCACTCAGAGGGCAAAAACTCCACCCCAAAGCTCAGGGACATGAAATTCCGACATGAACTCCCGCCAGAGTTTCCCTCAAGGAGGAAATCAGTCACCATTCCTTCCAAGTAAAAATGCTCAAACATACCTGTAAGTCTTACCCCGTGGTGGGGATGGGGGATGGGATAAGCTATATTCTGCAGGAAAAAGAAAAAAAAGATAAAGAGAAACTCCAGCCAATTTCCCACATGACCAAACAAAGAACAACAGGACAAACAGCAGTAAAAAGGATCCCTGCCATAAACTTTCCTAAACATTACCTGACCCACTGCGCCTGTACACATAAAGAAGACCGGAAAGCAAGGGAGTAGGTATGAGCTAAA